TTTATTCATTCATTCATTCATTCATTCATTCCTTTATTTGATTTTTAAAAACTGTATTTTTTCTATTTTAAAATTTATTTATTTATTTATTCATTCTATCTATCTATCTATCTATCTATCTATCTATCTATCTATCTATCTATCTATCTATCTATCTATCTATCTATCTATCTATCTATCTATCTATATCTATCTATCTATCTATCTATCTATCTATCTATCTATCTATCTATCTATCTATCTATCTATCTATCTATCTATCTATCTATCTATCTGTCTATCTATCTATCTATCTATCTATCTATCTATCTATCTACACTACTCAACAGTAACACCCAAAAAGCAAAAGGGTTAAAGGAATCTCTTTACCGCTACCAGACTATACAAACAGTTTAAAGAAAGTTTTGTTCTTTACAGCTACCAGACAATACAAACATAGAGAGGATTGTAGTTTCAATAGATCCGAACAGTAGGTAAAGCTAAAATGAGTAGGACATTGGAAATACTGTGCAAAACTGATGATTGTATACCTTGATGACTGTGATGAACATGAGACAAAGAGGAATAATTTAGGTTGACGGCTTTAATAATATCATCACGAAGGTAAAAAAAAACAGGGGGGGGGGGGGGGGTGGGGCGTGCTCTTGATTTGTGAATGTTATATGTTATGTTCTTTTAGAGGCACTATCTTGTTTATTAGTAGATACTTCAACGCTTTTTCCAAATCCATTGTGTGAGAGGAGAGAAAAAAAAGCAATTTTTTCCCATTAAACATAAAACCAAATAATATTAGAAAGGTGGGTTCCAGGCAGAATAAGGTAAACTTGAAAACAGAAATATAAAAGCGAGTTAAGGGGGGGGGGGGGGAGGGCTACACCTGAAGGCTATCTCGCTTATTAGCGGACCAACTTTTACCATATTTCACACATATAACAAGCATAGGCAGGAGTCTTAAAATCCGCAATCAAATTTGAATAAAAGTTTCGTTTCCATGGATACGGCTGCCATATTGGATTTTGTTGACATGTTTTACGTAATGAATACTGCACTTATTGCTTATGGAAATTAATTGTGTGTTTTTTTGTATACGTGTTAACAAACATTAGATCTAAACATTTGTTGGTTGTCTTTTTCCTAAACGAATTAGAATTTTTTTAATGATTTGTTTTCCTGAGGTAGTTTTCAAATTTGCAAAAAATCCGTGAAAATCATCACTCCAGACACCACCATCAAAATTTTATTCTATATATTAAAAATTCAACAGAGAAACTTTTAGTATTAAATCTTCGCTTCATTCTGTGAAATTTTCATGAAGATTGAATGGACAATGGTGGAGTTATTTTAAAAAGTATAGAGAAAAATCGCGTTTTGAGAAAACGGCCGATAAAGAAAAATAAAACATTGACTTTATGAGGAAATGGTGGTGACAAACATACCCGGCATGGGATGAAATCTGGTTTCTTGAGGTTCTAAGGCGATGAAATAGTTGTAAGTGAGGCTGACAAAGCTAACAATGCCTGCAACTCAAATTTTATAATTTTGAGCCGAATCGGGATTTGGGGGGTGCATCACCCCCTCCCCTTAATAAAGAAGAGACAGTATGAAATCGCTAAAGCCCGTCACCCACTTCTAGTTAAAAGGGTGCGCCCGTCTTGAGATGGTCTCAAGACCTACTGAACGCGATCTCAAGATGATCTCAAGATGATCTCAAAACCAAAATCCGGACTGCTCAGTTAAAAATCTCAACAAACGGTGAGAACGCTTGAATTCAGAACGAGCCTGAAAATTATTTAACAGATTGGAGATCAGGGTACTCGACGCTAAAAATAAAAGTGTACCAGCGTCAAAATTGTGCAAATCTGACTTCAGAATCTTCATCAGCGTCAAATTCTAGTGGGATTTGATACGAAACACTGCTATCAAGCTTTTGATGTAATTATGTTAATATTATTTTTTGCGTGAGCCAGCTAGTTTTTTTTTTCAAAGACAGCAGATCTATGCGGTTGAATTGTATTGAAAGCTGAAGAAAAATAAACGTATACGAGGGTACGTTTTGTTAATTTTTCCTCAGTGTTCAATACAATTCAACCGCATATTGTCATTTAAAAACAATTGGGTCAATTGTTGTCATTATATCGCAGCATGAGTCCTGAAATTTTTGACAGGCAAACCACAATTAACATATTATGTTAATCTGAACAACACAAAATCTGACACAATCCTGGAAGAACAGACAGATATAGAAATTCATTTGTACCAACTGCAATGATGTTACTGAACATACAGTGCTACAAATAAAATAGAGAGAGAGAGATAGATAGGCAGAGAGAGACAAAGATAAAGAGAGAGAGAGAGAGAGAGAGAGAGAGAGAGAGAGAGAGAGAGAGAGAGAGAGAGAGAGGAAGTCGTTTTGGCGCTTTTCAAATAATGCGAGCTACAAACGATAAGCGTGAAGTCCGAATCTCTATCCGCGTTGGCCAGTTCCATGCGTACTTCCTTT